GATACAGGAAATGGGTTGAGAGAGAGAGAAAGGGAGAAGCAGAGAAACCAAACAACAGTGCATTAGAGACAGCAAGAGACAATGTTGTGACTTTAGAAAGAAGGGGAAAGAGAGAACTGGGGACGGAAAGATGGCTAATGAGGAAAAATGAGACCAATAGAGAGATGGACAGAGAGAGAAGGGAAGAGGGGGAACGCAAGGAGTGAAAGAGGTGAGTGACTTGTTGGTAGAGCTTCGTTGGCTCACTGATGGAGGGCCTGTCTAACACACACACACACACACACACACACACACACACATTGTGTAGTGCATCGTTGACTTTGTAGCAAGGTAGAGTTACTGATAATGTTTATATTTCATTTCCAAGGTCTATGGGATGTGGCTTTAGGAATACACAGACATGCGTACACACACACACACACACACACACACACACGCTCTCTCTCTTTTTTTTCTGTCTCAAAAACACACATACATCTCACACAGCCACCCACTAATACCACAGGCATCCACCTTTATAGTAAATCTTGTGGGTGATGGAGCCAGCACTCAGAAACAAACACATTTATCTTGCACAGAGTACAGGTAGAATCTGTCAGGGTTTTTGGGTTTGAGTAAGACACCCAGGTGAATGTTTTCTACTAGTTTTTTTTTGTCACTGTGATATAGAAATAGAAATATACATAATGGCTCTGGATTATTACAGGATAATAGAGTACAGAGGAGGCTGAGCATGATATGTGAGAGTTTAAAAAACAAACAATGGCCAACAGTATTTTCTGAGCTAAAGGACAGTAATTATACGCACATCACTTGGGTGTAAGGCTATCAGAAAACACTGTCAGTGTGCTGGTATTACCTTTTTTATTGACATTTCTTCCTAACAAACACAAAACAAACAAAATAAGGATCCTTAAATTTGATTAGAGTTTTGACAGTAAGCATACTCTCTGGTTGACAAATTATGTAATGACAACACTGCTACTAAATTATGGAGAACATATCTTTAGCATTTTCTTGCATTTGATTATGCTTTTAGGATGTAAATAAAGGTAAATGTATTCTCATTTGTCAAAAGTATATAGATTATACCTACTACAGTGAATATAGACAGTTAAATCCCTGCAAGAATAAAATGTCTGACCATCATTCTGTACAATGGAGTATTATTATAAGCATGGATGCATTTAAATGATGGTTCTCTCCATTAATTCTTTTATCGATCTCTATGGGGAAATTACTCAGGAGAAATGAATGAGGATATGTGCAGCTATTGTGGAGCCTCTTAGCAGGTGCCCTTTGATTTCAAGTTGGTTTGACACACTGGCTATTTTTACATATGAAGTTCTTTATCTAATCATGTGTTTTAAACTATTGCATGGTTTGGAGCAGATTATATCTCACACTACAAAATAAATTAAACATGAAGACCGTAGTGTTAGAGTTCTCTTTGAGGGAAGTGGGCCTGTGGTATATAATTATTTTCTATTTGAATAACTTTTGTACACCACAGAATTTAAGGCAAGACACTGCAGGTGAATAGGGTAAAAAATAAGATATCACCATGAAACGTTCCTAGTTGATTACTTACATTAAGACAACATTTTTTTATATTACAGGTTTTCAGTAATATTATGTTTAAATATGCAAATGAGGCAGTATCTATTGAAATATGTGTTTATTTGCATCTATTTCAAAAACTAAAATCTGAACACTGGATTAAATCAAGTTCAAATTTATGGTTTTCTGTTGACACATTGTACTCAAATATTTTTTACAGAGGGGATTTTTGGATTAGAGCCTGACCGATTTATCGGCCGATATGAGCTAATTGCATTTAATCGGCATCGGCGTTTATAACAGCAGATACATGAGTATCAAAAAAGAAACAGAGACAGATCCTTCACACTTGTCAAGAGTGTTGCGTTGTTTGCGTACCAGAGGGCGCTCTGCAGCTCCCCTGTTAACGCCACTGCTGCACCAGAAAAAAAACACAAAGAAAACAATCTGACCGGAGTCTACCGAGATTGTTTACAACACACAGACACACGCTGTGGCTGTTTGCGGTGAGTTGGTCATTTGTCACGTTAATTACATGACTTAAATAATTATAATGAATGTAGCCCCAATCACTTCTCCTCTCCTGAAAACATTCATGGTTTGCGAACCCTCCCGTTTTTCACTGCCATCTCCCGGCTTCCTACCGGCTCACAGCAGTATGTTTAATGTTACGGTAGTTGGGTGTTGGAGGCTACGCTGCTGACAGATGTGATTGTAGACATATTTCTAACTAACATTAATGCGGCCCATTGCTAAAGTAGCCACAAAGCTAATGCCGTGTTTATCAGTAGAAGAGCGCTAATGTTGTAATGAGCCGTTACACTATAGTTTCTGACATATTCTAAATTAGTTTGCAAGCAGCCTGTCTGCAGTTATAGTTGGCGTGTCGGAAATGACTAAACCAGAGCAGACATGTAAATAAAGTTGAGATGAACAAGAATCTAACACGGCTTTCTGCCTAACAAAGTTATCTTGCTCCTCTTTGTGTGACGTTGTAGATGTGAAACGTTGTAGTCAGAGCCTTACCGGCTCTGGTTGCAACTCATTGCATTACCAGACCCTCCACTGTGACCTCATTAAATCCACAGATGATGGCACTCATAGTTCATTTCTGCACCTCTCTGTGTTTCACGAACTGTAATCAAATTCACACTACATCTATCAAATAGAGAACTTAGGAAAGGTTAATATTTTTAGAATGGTAGGAGATCATTTCAACAGAACAAAACCGTTTTAATTGACATTAAGATAAAGGTCAGATGTTCTAAACAAACATTTATTTTTTTAAATAACAAATAAACCAGACAATTTACCTTGAAAGTGCCCTGAAATAGACTCAATAGACTAAACAAAAAAAATGCTTTTGTGAAAAAATGTTTTTCACATGGAAAACGTTGTATCCTTTCCGTTGTAAAAAATCCATCACTTACAAATTTAACCTAAAAAGCATCCCAAGAAGAGTCTTCCAAATCTGGAAGACAGTATGTAAAAGTAGACATGCTCCTAGGTTGATCACTACTAGGGTTGAAACGATTCATCGATTAAATTGATAAAATCGATTAATAAAATGCATCGAAACAAATTCTTTGCATTGATGCTTCATTTAATCCATATAACTATATAGTACAGTGTTTCGCACGGACATTTATTACTGTCGCACATCGCGCTTACGCTGTCAAAACGATGTGATTATAATGGAGCTGTTTGCAAAGTCGAGGAAGAAAGAGAAAATAGCGAGGGGCAAAGAAGAAAGTGTTGAAAGTATGGGATTATTTCAAGCTAAAAGAAAACAACTCTAATGTTACCGTCCGTCCACCGTAAAACCAAACTTCGCCTCCGCAACAGCACGACAGCACCTGAACAAAAAGCAGCCGGTGTTCTGCCAGCGGACCACAGATAAGGTAACAGTAACAGCAACTTTAGCATTTAACTGAAATCATGATTGATTGTTAAGTTGAAGACTAGACAAAGTAAGCCGCAGTCCTCAGCTGAAAATGTAAACACATGTGTTTGTTGTTGTCCTTTTTGAGCCGTGAGTTGTAACCTCATGAGTCACCTGCAACTCTCTCTGTAGCACAGACAATCCCTGCTACCTGCGTGAGCTAATCCATTCTTTCACCCAGAGTCTTTATAACTGTTATCTTTATAATAACAAACAACAGCTGTTTCGTGTGCAGGATCATTCATCTCCCGTTTCACATTTCATGTGTGTTTTCTTGACTAAACATGGTTTGGAGACCTGCGTCGGGTGACATAGCCGCTGTCGGCTCCTGTAGTGTGAGTATGTCCCTGTCACCGATCAGTCACGTAGTGTGAACACCACACCGACTTCAAGACTGCTGTCATATGACGGCAGCTTGTGTAGTGTGAACGGCGCCGCCAACCAAAAATACTTCTTAAACGACGCAAATTGTTGAAATAATCTATAGAAGCTTTGAATACTAAAATAATCGTTAGCTGCAGCCCTAATCACTACTTTTGATGTCATCTTCAAATAAAAGAATCATCTGCTATCAAAATCATCTATAATACTCCCCACAGAAATGTGCCCATACTGTAAAAACAATCAATGAAAAAGTCAGTGCCATTTTTGATTGACAATTTAAAAATCAGTGAATTGACTTAGTAATAAGTTAAACAGCAATATCTTACATATTAGCAAACATATCATAGCATAAGCTCCTGGTCTACTCAAGCCCCCAAGAATGGAGCTGGGCTATAAAGCAATTTTGGTGTAGTGGCCATGTTCATCACGTGAAGCACACTAGCCCAAAAAGATTTTTTCCTATACACAATCATTGAAAAAGAAGTGGCTGTAGAATAGTGAATACATTTTTTGAGTGTCACAAATGACTCTTTATTTTTAGAATTGGATCAGTTTGGTCCAATAACCTTCGTGAAGTCTAGAGAAGCCGTATGATTAAATTATTTTATCCTATTCATGTGTGCAGGGAGCCAACAGGAAGACAGCCGACTGGGCCAGTAGATGTCTTTGATGTGTATACTCTCAACTGGCTTGGCTGGAGAAGGATTTTAGTGCACAAGATACTTTATGGGCTTATAAACGCAGTGTAAGGAACCTGTGGAGGCTTTGTCTTTAATAGCAAAGACTGGGGAGCCTTTTTTAAATGCAATCTAACTCTCCTTAATAGATCTAGATAGAATAGTCATTGAACAAGGGTGTGTTTTGCTGCTTATAAATCAGACTTTTCATTTGGGACACTGTTCCAGTGGATGGTAACACAAAGAAATAGGCCTCCTAGACTGAAGGGTAGAATGAAGCATGGAGAAGAATCTTTGGCCTACAAACACAACATTTTGCAAGTTTACTAAAAAAACATTTTTTTCTCATTCCCTTCACACACATACACTTAATTTACATTTTCCCATCCTTTCTCTTTTATCTCTCAAACACACTTATACACATGCTCTTTTCTTACCCTTGTAATTGATCTTAAATCCTATAGATCCGACACTCTCATCTGACTGTAGGTGAAGCCACATCTGGTGGGTCATACTGACTATCAGGTCAGGAACAAAGCTACCTGATAGGCTGGGGCATAAAACACAACACTATTAAATCATTGTAATTATAGTCGCCATTATAAAAAGTATAATTTTCATCCCTGCAATCATAGCCATAATCAAATTCTCAAGTGCTGCTGTGAGTGTGAACAAATTGCTGGAGCATACTGCGTTAGAGTTGAATGCTTTGGTTTTGCAGAATGCTCCCTCAGAAAAGCAAATTGCATCCATACCATCCTTTTTTTTGTGTGGCTTTTTTCTCAGAATGCCAGCCCTCTTTTAGGCATTAAACTGACCGACTCCAAAGTGAATTGAAATCAGCCACTTTGTAAAGGCTCTACATCTGTTATCCTTTTGGGCACTGCAGAGCATTTTCAAATTTCAAAGACAAGTTCATCTTTTTAAGTGGAGCACACATAATGCAGACTGCTGTTTTACGATCTGACTTAATTACGACAAAGAAGATGGAGGTTTTAGGCTAGCTGGCAGCTGATGGCTTAAAATGGAAAAAGTCAGTTTACTTTGATCATTTAGACTTTATGTGGAACATGTTAACTGTGTTGTAAAGCATCTGACTGACTGACAACAGCGCTGCTGCTCATGAGGGCATCTGGTCATTATGGAAACACAATGTGTGTTGCACAAAGAAAATGCAAAACTGCAGTTAAGAGAGCCCATTTTCTGAAAGTTGTTACATTCCCTGTGTTTTGTTGCTATAATCTGTCTGGTATGACAGCAGAAGACAACTTAATATGCATAATTTTCAAGCAAGGACTAACTATCTCTTTTAATGTGAAATGCATTATATAATTATGATACAGTGTGGGATTTCCCACCACTGATTCATAGATGAATAATGTATTAAAGTTTTTTACAATCCGCCCACATGTGACACACTCAATCCTAAAATGCTTGATTTGGGCTAGAAAAAAAATAAATAAATAAAAACTTTTCACAAAAAATAAGAATGTAAAATGATACTGTAATACTTACACCTGTAGTATAGTTGTAGGATCTCCCACTTCCCCTCCATCTCCTATTGTCAGAGTATCATAGGCTATCTCCAGGTCAAACTCTTCAAAGTTGATCTGGATTACCTAGTTCACACACAAAAACCCAGAAGCATACGTGTCAGTTTCAAACCACTTCAAGCACAACCCAGTCAAAGTCAATCTGGGCCTGACATTTAGGTTTATAAATGTCAGGGCTACTTATTTATTAGCTTTGACAAGATGAAGCAGATTCTGAAAACAGACAAACATTAGATACCCCTACAGTGTATATGAATCTTTATTGATCCCAGTTTAACAACCATCTGTTTATAAGATGTAGAACTGTGTCATGATGATATCTGTTAAGAAATCTTTTCTTGCAAAAAGTACGACTTTGTTCTCATATTATTACAACTTTTGTCTAAAAAAATTCCAACTTACACTTTTCCTCCTAATATTATGACTTTCTATTAAAAATAAAAATAAATGTCAGTTAAGCCTCGCCCATTTTCTCGACAGAAACTTGGCCTAAATGGGCTGAGGTAATACATTTACACAAGTAATTACCTTTTCTTTGAAAATAAACTTAAAGGTGAAAAAAGAAACAACAAAATATGAAAAAATTATGAGAAATCACATGCATAGAGTCAGGGATATATCTATATTGCCCTCCACTGACCCCAATCATAACCACCAAATGCTCCATAGATGTTTTTATGTTTAGAATTTCACCTATGACCATATTATAAAACACATTTCTCTCTTGGAACACATGACCGCAGGTGAATCATTAGAATGCATTAATGCATCACACATTGTGGTACGACTTCATTCAGCGTTGCAAGAAGAACTAGGAAGAGACAAGAAGCACCACCCTGCGCTGCACTCGAAGCTGGGAGAATCAGCACACAGCTCAAAAGTCTGATCAGGAATTATTAAACCAACACTTTCTGTTTCATCTAAGACCAGAGAGAAACACATTTGGCAGAGAAGGGAGGAGAGAGAAAAGGAGAGTTGGGGGGAAGGATGAGAGGGACAGAAAGAGGAGAGTAGATAAAGAGAAGGAAGAAGATGAAGGCAGATAGAAAAAGGGAGGAGAGAGGAGGAGGAGGCAAAAGAGAGGAATGGGGGGTAATAATGAGCACATCTTTGATGCTAGCAACATACCGTGTTAGAATATTTCAACTAAAATTCTGACTTGACCCTCAGGGGAAGACTGAAACCTCACTGCCTATCCTTCACTTCTTCCTCTTTCCTTGTGAGGAATTTTCAGATTTCCAGATTCAATATTCTGCCGGAGGACTTCAAAACATCCAAAACAGCATACAGGTCTGACGCTGGTGTGTTAACTCTGAGCACATTTACGTCCATATCACTATCTTCTTATTTGTGAGCATCTGTTTTTGTAGTCTGCTTGAGTTAGACATCATGAATATAGTCCTTTTCCTTTCTTCCTCCACTATCTGCAACCTGAACACCTGGGGACATGATACCACTAGTGCGCATGTTGAAGTATAAACAGCTTATCCTCACTGTGACCTTAACCGTTGAATCTATAAAGAAAGAGGGAACAAATGAAAAACTGAGCACACATTACAGTGACCATGCCTTTCCCCTCACATGCTGTTTAACTACTTATCTGTTGGCAGTGTCGTCTGATTTGCTTTTGTTCGTGGGGTTCATTTTTATTCAAGTCAATTTTCGATTTTGCTTGTGGCAGCAGAAGCAGACTTACCTTTTGTATGACATTACAAAAGATATTACGAAACAGATGTGGCCATACCACGATTAAATCAAACAAACTGGAAAGAATCAACAGCACCATTACCTAAGGTCACCGGAAAGGAGTTAAGTGAGAGGAGGCTACAAAGATGAAGCAGTAACTTGCCCAGCTCACAATGCTGACTCAGTCTTATTGGCATGTAAGGAAGCAGATCGGATTAAAGCATCACCTACAAACCTGCTAAACTCTCCCTGGCAAGCCCACACACATACAAAGACACACCAGCACTCAAGCACACATTGTCACAAACACACACACACACACACACACACACACACACTAACACTCTCTCTCTCACACACACACATACACACACACACACACTAAAACACTCACGTATACAGACAGGCCCCGCTTTGTGGAGATTAATGTGTCAATTTCTGTGATTACATAGTCACCATTTTCACACTTATCGCAATATTCCTATAAGCCTTAAGCAAGCTTTCAATCCAACAGCAAGCCTCACAATATATAACATATACCAGTATACATAAACAATGTTTTTACACATTTTATCCAAAGGCAAACCTTGATCCTGCATTTAAAGGGTTAACACAACTGCTACGTCTAGAGTAAATAATGCAAACGTGCACCAGAAAAGATTCTCTTATAAAAAGCACAATTGATGGTTTGCGTGGGTATTAAGCTGTACAGATGAATGCATCTTCTGATTCTCATGAACTGCCAGCAGACAAGACGCTTCCTGTGAGTGTAGTTTTTACACCAGCCCTGCATTTACTCAAGAACTTCAGAAAGTGCTTTACTACTGAAAATAGTTCCTGAACTTGTATATTAAGTCGCAGTGGTGAGTAGACACTAAGTTACTCCAGCTGCCATTCATCTGCGAGTGTGAAAAGAGAAACTCTGCCTTTTCTAGATGCTGACTTTTGTAATTTGGCTCATATTTAAACTGAATAAATAAAATGAAGGGGGAGAAGAACTGAGCGACTATTACGGAAATTATGTGAAGTGCTAGGAATAATGCTGTTAGTTGGCTACATAAAGGAGAGCATCTTGCCATCTTTGATTCTGTCGTGGGAACAGACCAGGGGCCTGAACAGAAAAATGTCCTACTTGTCCTACTACCTTAATTTAAGTTTTAAAGATTGAAAAAATCCCATCTTCCTCTTACTGAAGCAATTCCTGCTATAATGGATAAGAAAATGTCATGCCAGTGGAGAAGAGAAAACCCCATCTTTTTGGGAAGTTTTCTTCCAAATTATCGGCCCAGGAGAAAGATTTGAATGGATTCAGCAGACAATAAATCATATTGACAGTCAAAATATACCAATTAATATATGGTCTGAGAAATTTGAAGAGTCATCATATGGATTACATTTAAATTTATTCATTTAGCTGACGCTTTTATCCAAAGCGACTTACAATTGCTATACATGTCAGAGGTCGCACGATGGTCTGGAGCAACTAGGGGTTAAGTGTCTTGCTCAGGGACACAATGGTGGATGGGTCACAATGGGGGATTGAACCCAGGTCCCACACCAAAGGCAAGCATCTTAAATATGCGCCATCACCCCCATGGATTGAGCAGTTTGTCAACCATAACATTGTGGTGTTCATGTTCCCTGTCTTCACTGTAATTGCCCTAGAGACCTCACAGCAGTTTGTGATGCCATTTTATTATTTATTTTGAATTTAGGATAGGGTCCATGCCATCCTAATTTAGGAAATTCTTCAGTAAGAAAAGTTTTGTAATAGCTTAACTCCTATCCCAAGATAAGATAATTTTTTCCTTAACATAGTTAGGAAACATGTAATACCAAAGATACTAAATGTTATCCTAAATTGAGATAAGATAGGATTTCAGACTGTTTTCAGGATTTCAGAAAGTTTCTGTAATGAGGCCGCAGACCTGTCTGGCCATGTAGTGCATAAAGACAGAGGAAGACCTGTGTGTTTCAATGTGAAGACTGGTCTATCTATCTCCTTCTACATGTCCTTTACAGAACAACCTAATGCCACATCAGCACTGTTCACACAGCATTAAACACAGCCAGAATATCACTACATTACACTGTGGCCATGTGTGTCTATGTGTGTGTGTCTCTGTGTGCATGAATGTGAATGTTGCACTGAAGTCAACTTAGATTGGAACCTCATTACTGATAGTGTGTGGGTTAGCGTTTATGTGCACGTTCGATATCTCTTTCAGTGTAGTGTGTGTGTGTGTGCGCGCGCAATAGATGAAGCTGAACACATTCTACATATTTCTCCTCTCCTCTAATAGGTTGGTGTTCATGAAAACATCCATCTCTTTCTCTCTCTCTCTCTCACCCCATCTCTCCTGCCTCTCTCTATCTTTCCCTCTCACTTGGTGTCACCCTCTCTGTCTCTCTCTTTTTAATTGGCTGCTGCATTCCTTCTTTCCATCTATATATGGCTTCTAGCCAATGAGGCGACAGAATTGGATTTCTGCTTGATAAAGCACTTCCTTTGGTTGTCGTGGAGACAATGAGGTGATCCTCCCCACCCATACCATAATATGATCTAGGGATACCTTGAAGATACAGCTACTGTAGGTATATCTGAAACACCTGGCCAGCGACACAGTCAGTGATGTAAAGGGGGCACAGACAGGGCCGGGGAATAATAGATTGTCTGTGACAGTATTACAGTAAACCCTTTGCCACCTGCTCCCCTTGAATGTGCTTCCGCCTAGATGGTATAATTTGTGCCATTGTGAGAAGAGCCGGGCTGATAAAGACTGATGGCCAGAGCCCGTTGCAACTTAGTGTTTCCCCCTTTACTTCTGTTTCACTGAGTTGAATCCACAAGGTGCCTCACTTTAAGACACCAAGTCTGAACAAGAACCTGTGTGAAAGGCTATGCATGACTGTTGCTATGCAACTACTGTACTGAAAAATACATTTGTAGTGCTCTTTTGCTAAATGTTTAACATTTTTAACCTGAGCCCTGAAAAAGTGCTACGCAGCACATCCTGTCAAGAAGATGCATAAGGATCCCAGTTTAATCACTAACAGCAAGTAAAATAAGCCAGTGCAATTATTCTATCATATCTTTAGTGTGTATGTCTGATTTCTGTAGGCCTACAGGGCATTACTGAATTCAATGCCCGTAAAAGTACAAACCAAGTTACCCAAAAGTGTAACTTTCCCTTCTTACTCAATGAGCTTGTATTACTTTTACTTTGTGTTTGTCATAGTAGTGTTAACTAAATATGCAGCGTAACAGCACTACACTAGTCTTCTTGTATCCATGGGTTATGCATTACACTGTGCATTCAAATGCATATGAAGTGATGCAAAGCCAGCTCATGCTTCTCACTGTATATAACAGAGTATGA